GTCAAATATGTCTTATATGTCTTAAATGACATGATGAATTGGAAATGGGGGACCCTGATGTAAACAAGACGAAAGTCTTTCTCTGGTCTGCATCCCCTTAACAATTGTATGTTTTGAGCTGTACTGTACTGTACCCAATATACAAGCTGTTAATAAACTTTTCAATCAATCAATCAATCAAACCACTTGCTCCTTCTATCGATTCCCGTCTGATGAAAGGACCAGGAGTCGCTGGATCAGACATATCAGGTAATATCATAGGTAATATACATGTTGTGCATGTTCATGTGCATAGTCAAGTTAGCTACCTAGCTAGTAGCGACGAGTAGCGAGCACGTTAGTTAGCATTACTTTACTTAGCCTTGTCATATAAACTATTTATATAACCATGTAATACAGTTATGTAGTAGTTCAGTAAAAGTAATTCTTTATTTATATGTCTTAAATATCCTTTATTTTAGAGGGGCCTGAGACTTAACATGTTCATTGCCCAAAACTGCACTGTAGTTATTGTGCATGTGACAATAAGGCCTTAATATTAGGGCTGCACGATATCAGGAACACATAACACGATAACACTTGCTATATTTGAACAAAAACGTACACATGCAGCATTATTACTTTTCCAACAACATTGGATTTATTGTTTATTAGTTAAATATCATGTGTGTGTGTGTGTGTTTATATGTCCTCTCTACTGGCCAACACAGGGAGCATATGCCGAGTGTAGAAGTTCTCCAGGAGGAGGAGATTTCCATGCCATGCAGGGTCTTTGGGGATGGGGATGATGATCGCCTCCTTCGTGGTCCACACAACAAAATAGCAGACTCCGGTCTGTGATGTGCAGCTGCCCTTGGACCTGGTGCCAGTATGGGTGATTCTCCTTGAGAACATAAGACCCACCCTCCTCACGGAGACAGAAGGATGGTAAGTCATGTGAAATCATCTTTACATACTAGAAAACTGTAGGAGCGGCAACTTGTTTTGAAATTGAATTTTTAATATCCGATAATAAAGTTGATCTGTTTTCTTTATTCTTCTCTCTTCCCAGCTCCATCCATCACCATTCTCTGTTCATCCGCGGAGAGAGGGCTTAGACTGACCTGAGACCAGCACACCCAAACACAACAGCTCTTTTAAGAGCCACCTACATTTTCAAAGAGTTGCAATCCTACCTTATTATAATGATTAAACTGTTTCATGCATCACTTAGTTTACTGAACCGTGATGAATGAAAGAAATTAGTGAGGTAGTGGCTTACCGAAGTTACAAAGACATTAATATATGAGTAACAGGTCAGTGTAAACACAAGCTTCTGTCAATTATGGATCATTCAAACTATTTATATACAAATATGTAATAAAGTTCTAAACAAGTATTCGGTATATTCCTTGATAGCTTTTGGAGAAGGTTGTTTTTAAGTTTACTAAAATCTATCGTTTCAACTGTTTCACTTTATAAAAAGGGAACAGGTGAGTAGAGCATCATTGAGTTTCTTATTCTGTCAGTAAATTATCCAAATGAATGTTTTTCATTATTTTAGTCAACCCTAAACAAATTGATTGTACCTTTTTAATAATGACCTTACATGGTCAGCAAAGTTAAATTAACTTCAGAAAATCAAATCTGTTCTGAGAAAAAACTAATAAATGTTTAAAGATAGGAACTTGCCATCCCACTGAAAACAGTCCGTAGAGATTTAAAGGCGTAGTTGTAGTTCAGTCCAACATGTCATTTGGATTCATTTCTCCAACAGTCAACTATTTTCATAAAGAATATATATATTTTTCAAATTCAACTTTATTGTCAATCTTACTCAGTTTGTGTTTATAGACAGAGAGATCAAAAAGACGTTTAAATAAAATTATACAATTTACAGATATGTATACAAACATATATATATATATCCTATATGCACCATCATGTATAATGATGGTGTATGATGTAGAAGGAAGTGTGGTAGATAACAAGTAAATATACATACAGATCCATGTTACAGCAAAAGATGGAATAACTAAGAAGCACACAGTATAATAATAATTACATGCAACAATTAAATAACTGCTCAGCATCTCCACCACAATCCCAATCTGCTGTGTCCTGTTTTCCTCCCCTCTGCATAACACCCCATCACACATATGGGCTCAGATGGCCGCTCTGCATCGCGCCATCGTCTCCCATGCAGATCTGTAAAAATAAAGTAAGTACCATTTGTTAGCATGCTATAATAGATTGAATGAGCAATACAAGGATGGTCAGGATCTGGGGGTGGGAGGGTTTATTTTTCCATATATTTGTCTGATTGTTGTTATTGTTTGATTTTTCTGTATTACCTATGAGGTTGTTGTGTTTAATATTCATGAGAATATTTGTCATTGTTTAAATGATAATAAACATTTGCATAAAGCATATTTGTCCACTCATATGTTGATAAGAGTATTAAAAACGTGACAAATATTCCTCTAAGGTACATTTAGAACAGATACAAAATGTGCGATTAATTTCCGATTAATCGAGATTAACTATGGACAATCATGCGATTAATCGCGATTAAATATTTTAATCGACTGACAGCCCTAATTTTTTTAAATGTGTATGAATACATTTTGAAAAACATTTGATCAACAAAAAAAAAGGATTTGATCAGGATCTAGACTCAGTGTGTAGTTTATTAATTAATCAATGCTCTAGTCTCTACATTAGGAACACACATACCAGTGTACCAGAGGGAGTCACACACAGCTGTGCCTAGATAACCAAACAAATTGACAAGATAACCAAAATCCTTGAATCTACACACAGCAAATAAACTCAAATGACACAAAGGAGATCACACATACAGTATAGTCGATATAAAACTGTCCGCTTCAATCTGAAGAGCAACTAAAACAAAACACGGGAGTGTACCTTGTTCTTGTGAACACTAATGTTATCCACAGCATACACAGAGACCACGAAGTTCTTAAGGAGAAAACTAGTTGCTAAAACAAAACACGTTAGTGTACCTTGTTAGCTAATGTTAGCTAGCTGACATTAACGTTACACATTGTACTCATATTACTCACCGAAACCTTGTAAAGCCGGTCCCGCATGCTGGCTCTTACAGAACCGACTAACTCCCCTTTCATACAGCTCTCAACGTGCCCAGACTTGTAGTGATTTTCACCTTGTAAAATACTGTATTCTCATTCTGAAAGAATGTGGTGAAATGTGCTAACGTGACGGCCATCTTTATGTTGGTGACGCGTATTGTGCGAGACGAGAGACCTGTAGTTCACTGAGCGGTTTCACACGAAAAAATGTGTAACTTCACAGTTTTACGACACATTTTTATTTTTTTGACTTGCAAAATGTTCTTTTAAATTGACAAACATCATATGTGTCATTCGTGGCACAATTCAAACGGGATCAAAAGATAACCTTTCTCTCTCCATTGACTTCAATGTATAATTTTCCGCTTCCGGGGTCCCATGGAGGCTTTCGGAAGGGGAGGGACTTCGCCTCTCTGGCAAAGGCTGCTTCTCAGGTCGACTATATTCATTTCCTCGCTCCTTGGTCCTCGGTCTCACCGAAAGTTGATTTGCCTGCGCCATCTTGAGTACCGTCCCATGGCTCTTATTTCTGCAGGAGGACCGAGGATCGAGGAGCGAGGAGCGATCATGGAGGAGCGATAACCGAGGAACCACCAGACCATCCTCCGATGAAATCCTCAGATACTCACCCCGCCCCCTTACTGTGTATCGCTCACTGATTGGACGAGGCAGTGCATGCACTGATCTGATGCTTCTTGACATGAGAGCAGTTTCCCAGCGGAGTGAAGAAAATACATGAATCTCACGAGAGTCACTCCTCAGTTTATACCGTGTTTTGTTTCAATTCCTGTTTCATTTAGTTACAAATATGTGATATATCTGAACAACAAAGTGGTCAAAAATCATTTTATTCATTTATTGGAAACATTTTCATGATCGCTTTTTTCGTTTTACATTTTCATTTATTGTCATTTCCATTCAGTCAGTCATTAAGTGCTATTAAAATGTTAATTTGCTACATATCCAAACAAACAAACAAAGTGTGCAATCCAATGAATGTTAATCTAACTGGGTTTTGATAGATAACATATCTCTTTTTCTTCTCTCAATTATTTTATTTCGATTGTGCACTCTAATCAATATTAATCAAACTATTGTTCGTTTAAATACATTTTAAGAATGGCGTTTATCTTTTTTGAGAATGACTTCTTATTTTATTTCATGTATTTGGATCTACAACAGATGATACTAATGTGTGTGTCAGTAAATGTGCACTAACAGAGGCGGGGGTGTTTGTGGAAATAACGGGTACAGAGCTGGCTGCTGTCAGACGATCAGCTGTGCAGCGTCATCACAAACAGACGTCGCTTCACGTGACGCTCCGGAGGAAAGGACGTCCCATTGCTCTTAAAACTCATTTCCCTGCTTCTCGTGGTTTCCTTGCGTCCCTCCATGCTTCCCTGGTGGGAGGGACTAAACGCAGGGAAACGACGCAAGTGAGGGAAGCAAGGATTTCATTTAATCGACCTGAGAAGCAGCCAAAGTCTACTCTGCTGCATTTAGGACAAAGTAGAAAGTCGCAAATTTTAACATACGGCCAACCGAATAGTTCCATCCAAATGTAAAATAAGTCATATAATGCCTTTTCCGAAGGAAACATTACTGTAGATTGTTCAGGTGGACCCATTGATTGATTCCTGAACCAGTAAAATAACTTTTTGACAGAAATAGACATAATAAATAATAGCACCGGGAACCTCAATGTAAACTGTTTGTGTTTCATTTGTAGATGTTCTTTGATTACTGCAGCTTGTGAAACATGTGGTGGATATCCAATAGAGCTGGATGTTTAAAAAGGACGGATTGTCTTTGCAAGCTCACCCAGTAACAGTAAGCCTAAAGGTATTTCCCTATTATTAGAGTTAGAATTTCCTACTCTTTAATGTGCAAGGAAACGCACCAAAACTGCTCCTTACGCAGGCTGTGCCCACAATGCATTTCGAATGAACATGGCTGACTCTTTCCTGGGAGTGCTATCCGAACGAGAATGAATGTGCTTTTTCTGTGCCAAAACAGCCGACATTCTCTGAAAACGCTCTAATATCCAGGTCTTTGGCGTTCATGACACATATTATGTTTTTATAATCGTGAGGAGCCAACGAGTCCCTGCTTACATTTCCGGTGAGAATCATCAGTTTCCGTCAGCAGCAACCCGGAGGACTAGCTCACAATGCTAGCGTGTTAGCGCTATAGGCTAACACCAGGGGTCGTACAGTGCTACGTTTAGTTTATTAATAAGACTCTGATTATTGGAGTCACTTCCTTTTTGTCTGCGTCTGGTTTCTGTCACCAGAACATCGCTTTATATTATAGGTTTATTAGCTAACGTTAGCTACTTTGATTCAATTTGATCTGTAACCAGCTAGGCTAACATCGTTCAAGGCTGACAGCTTTTCTCTTTGTCACTTTAATTTATTAAGACCTCTGTCGAGTTGTCATTTTGTCATCCAACCTCCTAGTGGATGTTAAAATATTAAATTCATACTTTAAATGACTAATATCTGTACACATTAGAATATATAATGTAACAATGGCCTTGCATTTAGTTGGAATGGAGTAGAAATGGAAAAGGCATTTATCTTATTTAAACAAATAAAAGTACCGTGTAAAAAATACTACAAGTCAAAGTCATTGTCTAACGTTAATAATTAAAGCTAATGTAGTTATTAAGCAGCAGACTGACCCATCGTTGCATGTCATTATAGCATTCATTACATTCAATTAGTCAACTAATCATCAAACAATCTAAAATGGGATTCTTTTTAAACGCAAAACTAGACATTAAAGGACATCATCTTGGAATTTAGAAACGTTGACAGTTGTTACTATGTTCTTCTGACATATTATAGACTAAGCAATTTACCAATTGTAATCTAGATAATAAGCAGGAGATTAATAGATAATACAAAAATAATAGTAATTTTCACCCTACATTGTTTTATAATGGCTGATTCAGTCGTGTGTAAGCAGCCTTTTCTTCTGGTCGAGCTGATTTTAACATTATCATTCGGTTGATCAGTTACAACCTATTGCATTTGATTGTCTCGAAGGTTTTGGGTATCAAATCTTGATCTTCAGTGTAAAGGAAAAAGTTATTTAAAACTGTACAGCATTACGGTTATTGGATAAATGTGCCTATTTTTATGTGTGAATCTCTCCTGAAACAGGGACACCTTCCTGTGATTGCTGACCAGATCCAAGATGGCAGGAGTTGTAGCCAAAAGAGAGGGACCACAGTTCATCAGCGAGATAGCCGTGAGGGGAAACGCCGCCGTGCTGGACTACTGCCGCACCTCAGTCTCCGCTCTGTCCGGAGCAACAGCGGGAATCCTCGGGCTGTCTGGGCTGTATGGCTTCATTTTTTACTTCCTCGCCTCTTTTCTCCTCTCTCTGCTGCTCATTCTCAAGGCCGGACGGCGGTGGAACAAATGTTTTAAAGCACGGAGGCTGCTCTTCACCGGGGGCCTTGTTGGAGGTCTTTTCACTTACGTCCTGTTCTGGACTTTCCTCTACGGAATGGTGCACGTGTACTAAAATTATTTAACCGTGAATTAGTCCTATCTAATGCTACATAAACTAATAATATTGTCTGCCCTGCTGTTTGTAGATAAGCCATTAGTAAAATACTTTTTCAAATATGAACTGTTGATTAATCGGCTAATGTGTCAATTATAATAGAATGAAGAATACTGTTCTCTTATCCTTCTGCTCCACAATTTGTAGCGACTTTATCCAACATGTAACTCGTGCTCTTCACTACAGATAAGAGCCATAGTCACGATAATGTAGTTTGTAGTGTAACATAGATCAACAAAGATTACACCCTAACACGGTGTAAGCACTTTGCATTGTATTCATGTATGATACTATGGTTAAATTATAATAAATATGATTACTGATTAAAATGAATACCTCTTTACATCTTGTTTGTATACATTATTAATCGGTTTGTCTGTCAGGCACTGACATCATGAAATAAATGACAAATACACTTGTTTCCAACAATCTAAACCATTCTATAAATGGATTTGAGAAGGTCACACATTTCCAATGTCTTTCATCATTCATTTGACAATCAGCCAGTATATCAGCATCGAACCTGTCCATTACAGAACACTCACAGCCCATCACAACTTCATTCCAAAGCTTTACAAGTGATACCTATCATTAATAACTAAATAATGATTGTGTTGTAGCTACGGCATGGCCAATATTAACATCAACATACAACATGAAGTGCACCACTCGAATTCCAACGACAGCACATGTTGCATCCAACTGAAATAACACAAATTAAGAACATTCACACATTTTCTTACAATTTGCTTTCTAGTGCATTTTCTCTGTGCTTACAAAATAATTTAAAGGTATTTTGAAAATTGATTTAGCAAAAATCATTTTACGGTTTGTTTGAATCGAATCGGCATTTAACGTAATCCTATGCTACATTTGAGGTTCATGAATCACGAATGACGTTAGTTTTCTTCGCGGTGATTGTTATTGGCAAGTCTATTAATGGCGAATCAAAAAGAACAAACTGAAAATGATGCTTGATCATCTGCCAAAAAGAGCTTTTAAGTAATGGATTCATGACCTGAAACAAAGATGCAATTAATAACTTCCATTTGTTATGCAGTAATAGGCAAATATTTGGCAATTCCTTTTAGGTCTTAGATAATTCATTTAAAGTCCCTCTGTTAATATTATCAGCATAACCACAGAACTCTGGCATATCATCATTTATGGACCTGTTGTAATCTCCCACACTCCAGCTTTGGACCCACCCAGCCTCAAAGATGAAAACCATCTCTCTGTGTATTTCTACATCAGCTTCCTGGCCCATGTGCCCACAATAACATTTCTTTGGACCAACAAAGTCAGGACAAGCATCACTCAGGCTAGTGACAGTTCAGCCAGGTGGGAAGTGGGCATCAGTCCGACTGTGGTTACGCCTCTCACAGACCGCTGCAGGGGATTGGTCTTACTCTGACTTAATTTTGCGCAGAGAAGGTGATATGATGCCGTGGCCCTGTGCCTTGGTTAGAGAGGTTGCCAGAATATCGCTGTCCTGCGTTGCGTGGAACTGTTGGACCCTGTTGGTCCACAGGCAGCTGACTCTCTGCGAGGGCTTCCGTCTCCTCCGGTTTATTGGTGGAGTTTCCAGCCTCTTTGTCCGCAGCTGGCTTCTTATGTCTCCTTTCCCGGTGTCCTGTCTTCCCTTCCTTGTGTTTGTTCTGCTCTTTCCTGTAACACACAGTGACACACAGATGTGCCAATAAATGTGAGGATAAAGGTTTTGGAAATGACTGATTTAAAAAAGGTCCATCATTAAGGTGTACAGAAAGTCATACTTTAAGTTGATGATTTCAAACTTCTTGTCCCGGTAGAAGGAGCTTGTGTTCATCATGTACAGTAGAATCATGTCACATGCAAAGGCCCCCTGAAAGAAAAAAAATATATTATATATAATATCTGTAGCACTCAGTCCATAATGTGTCAAAAACATAACTAATAATGCATTATAATCTACTTATATTGCTGTATAATTAAAGTTATAATACCTCATAAATATTCATGATGCTTAAAACAATAAAACAATATTTATAAATTAAAAAGCATTTGACATAAAGTCAAGTATCATAATGCTTCAATGTTGCTGTTCACTCACTGACATTGTTTGTCTCAAGGACAATAGATATTTTAGGTTGATAGATGTAATAATACATAATAATACTTTTTATAAAATCATCATCACCGCTTTAGCGCATAATCATGTGATTATTCTGGTAGCTGGTTGGTTAAAGTGAAGTAATTAAATGTCTTAGGTAAAGGCAGATATAATACATTAACTGGTTATAAGTAACTGTAAGTGGTCATTCTTTCACTTAAAAACATATTTTTAATCTATGCAATTCAATATGTTGTAATACTTTTTTCTTCTTTAACTTGTCATAGGAAGAAAAACGTGCAAGTAACTATAATAAAACAGTGGCAATTACCCACCGACACCTCAATATTATTTAATAATAATTTAATAATATTTTATTAAACTACTCACTGCACCCAGCAGGGCAATGCCCGAACCAATGGCAATTATCGTGGGAACAATATTGAATTTCCCAGCCTGAAAAAATAATAACAAGTTTTAGTTATTATTTCCATAATAATGTACTTCACTCTGGAAAGAATCATTCCTATCACTGCTGTACCTGGCCATTGATCATTATATCGAAGCGGATCCCATACACTTTATACAAAGTGCGAAAGGTGCCATTTTCATCCTTGAAATACCTGGCATATCTGGAGGGGGAAATCAGACCGGTTAGACTCGGAGACCAGTGAGCTGACAGATGTATTTCTTGGTGAATGCCTGGAGGGACATACCTGAAGTTATATCCTGATGTGACAGAGTTGTTTAAACCCCTATCCAGGCGGGTAAAGCTGTACTCTGGATTACACAGTGAATAGTCCTTATCCAGGTCGCAGTCCCACTCAATGAGAATTCCAACAGAACCACCCTGAAGGACCAAAATAGTGTAAGTGTAACCTCAGCTACATTAACAGGTCTATAATAAAGTGTGTAGCCAAAATAAAGACAAAAATGTAATGGAAACCAATTCAAACCATGTTCTGATCGCAGGGCTTTTTGAGTCCTGGCTTCAAAATTGTACTTCCTACCATTTCCTTATGTTTGCAGGTGAGTGAGGAAGCTGTAAATTCAAAACAAGCGGCATACGACCATGCAGTCTGCAGAAGTGGTCTGATCAGATAACATACGTTTGTGGACTATCGTTGTGTCTTAGGAAATGCTTTAAGATAAACGCTAGCTTGAAAGTTCATTCTTGACTGGAAAATATAGCTTGAAAATAAAAACGTATCATATGGTCCACTTGTTGTTGTTTTTTTTAAAGCTTTCAGCCATTTCCGTTGGCCTTGTTTTAGTTGGTTTTTCATCTGGTACTAAGGATGGGTTCCAATCTGTCCGACGGACCTTTGGTGCATGTTGTCCCCTCTTTCTCCCCTTCTCCTGTCTAACTTAAGCTGCAACAGTAAGGACAAAAAAGCACTCCAAAAGGAAAGGAAATTATTGTTTAGTTCTTATCATATGAATTAATTATTGAATTTGTATTTATTTTTGTATACAGCCACTTTGAATCAATTGACACATTTTGTAATTGATATGTCACGTGATGACAACACACCATCTCTCTAAAGACTTGATGAAGACCATGTGCCTGAAAGTTTGTCTAATAGATGATCTTTTTTTTACTCTTTCTGAACAACCATTGTGATTTCAAATAAACCCGTGCAAACCTCCGACCTAGGCTGCCTTTAGGAGCCATGTCTATTTATATTTTTGAACACTAGGTGACAGTGATTAGCTGCACAAGCAAAAATGGGGTCATAGGTGACTGGAAAGGGAGAGGCACAGGTTGAGAGAGCACACAGTTCTTATTTGACATGGCAACAGATGTGGCAGAAGTACAGACAACCCAACAACACAGGCAACACTTGGAAATTGGTATTGTACAACTACCGCAATTAACCTCAAACTAACCTGCAGCTGTCGACCAGAAAATCTTTTTTATTAGTCTGTGTATGATCAATCTCATCATTCTCCTATGTAATAATCGCAAACGGGAAATAGGACATTGGAACACCTAATTGCCATTACACTGTAATGTGGTATCTTGAGAATAAATTATGCAGAAATCCATTTTAGACAAAAAAAAAGTATCTTCACTACAGTGTAAATGGCACTCCTATGTTCCATTAGAGATTTACTCCAAGACCACATAAAAAATTATGTTGCATCGCAAGCAGACCACCATCTTAGAAATCCTTTCAAATTACCATTAGTTATTGGAAAATGTTTGTCTTTGGATATCAACAGGAAATACTGAGAGATAGAGAGAATGACTTGAGTGACAGAATTAGCTTGCAACACGCTGATGAAGATTTGTTTTCATCTTGTACTATATTCATTTTCTTACTACCCTTATCATTACATCAATAGTTTTGTTTGTTGCAGCACACGTCTTGTACAAGTGTGTGTCTGCAGTTATTATTATGAGGAGCATCTTAAATGGATTATATCTCCTAAATGTGATGGTCTATAATGGTGTGTTATCAAATGACTATGAGGAATCCAGTAATTGAAATAACTCCCACACAGTTTTATCTCACACGTTAATACACTTTGTACCTGAACAGCCATTTCCTGGAAATCACTCCCAGTCCAGCTGACCAGATCTCCGAGGCGGAATATGGGGCAGTACAGGTGTTCCTCTTTGTCGTAGGAGCATCCTTTCAGGTAGCTGTCGTCAGAGGTTTCAAGGACATTGCACCTAGATGTTCAATATAGCAGGCATGAATAACTTGTATCAAATGTCAGATTATCAGCAACTGTGAAAACCACTACTATTTCCACATGAATCGTGTTTCCCTCACCCTTAGACATTTTTTTAACCTTCCACTCAAGTTAAAAAATGTAAGTCACTTAAGTTGGAGTTATCATGTGTATCTAAGTGTTGGCGGGACGGCAATAGACTTAAGAGCCACCTGCTCCTGCCAATTCAGGGTCACAGAATTCTCTCAACTTCTCATATTGGCATATTTGACATTTCCATCTCTATCTTAGACACAATCAATGCTAAAAGATATAGTTCAGATGTCTCAAAGTGGGGTATCATAGTCAGTGAATTAACTAGAGTAGATGGTAGTTGGCAAATAGCCAGTTTGGAGAACAGACAGGAGTGCAATGTAATGCTATGAAAGCAAAATTATCTTAGCCGTATAAAGAAAGCAGGACCTTTACCTCTGTGCTGGTTATGGGCGGGCCAACCTCCATCTAGTGCGAATACACTGACTAAAGATCAACATCTTAACTTTTACCATGACTGAATGCACTGTAAAATG